ATTCTAATAAACTAACCAAACAAACAAAACTGTTAACTTTACACAAAAAATCTTAACGCTGTAAACAAAACACTGAAATAACCATTAAAAACTGTAAAATGAAATCAAATTAAAACAAATTCAGTAACAGTAGGTGATAAATTAATTAAGATCAGATTATTTTTATCACGGAATTATTTACAATTAAAATTTTAAACAAGAAAAACGTCTTACTATGTTTTAAGCTGTAAGTTATTCATAGACGCGTTCCTTCTGGGCTTTTTGTTAAACAACGCTGACCTCTGGTGTTTGTTCCAGTAATTGACATGAGAGAACCATAAACACATGCATCATACTTACTACTTCTACTGCTAATACCAGTACTGCTGATAATAAACATTAACATTTTAGCAATATTAATTGAAGTTTTATTTAATCAATAAATCCCCTGTCATTAAAATGCCTTCATGAAAAGAATAGAGACCACAAAGACAAACCCCTGCAAGGTTAAGCAAATTATTTCAGAAAGAGGTAGCACAACAGAAACAGATAAAATAAAATAAAGCAAGAACTAGCAAGTAATATGACCTACAAAGACCAAGCATAAGTTTCTTCCTCATAAAAACCATTAGTGAGTCCTTTACCACATTCTTTTTATCTTTTAATTCAAGAGAAGTTTTCATAGACTTGATGTAGGTGTGTGTGACGGATCACCTCAGCTGTGTAGTCAGGCATCACCTGGTGTTCTCTCCAATGCTGCTGGTTCTGCGTTCTTTTTGCCACAAACTCCTCCAGCTGGTGGATTCGCTGCTCCACCTTCATTTTTAAACCTCTCTTTTGTGTTTCAGATGTATCGCTACATTCTTCCACAACACCTGTGAGTACTGTCACATCAGTGATTTTACAAAAGAGAAAGTTGATGCGTGTTGCCTGAAGTTGTTGCATTGTTCTTGCAGCTTCACACACACTGAGGCACTGGATTCGTTACAAACTCATACCCAGGTGTTGCTTTTCTTTGTTTCCACAGCTTGTGCTATTCATCTTCAGTAAACCTTTTACTTTAAAGGTTTCAAATCACAGTCTCTTCTGTGCTGCCATTACTTTCTTAAGATTTACTTCTATACAGTTTTAGGCTTTGCTTGGCCTATTTCATGTTTCATAGGTACCCTCAGCCCAGCTCGTTCAGATTAGCACATCTTATTTAGCATGGTCCAGTATTCCACACTAAAATGTGAATAACCAGCAATTAATCTGTGATTGAAGACACTTTTGCTAAGGCCAGAATGAACTGTTATGAGTTTTGTGTACTCCCAGCTTACTTTTAGTACTTTCTGGGGAGCCGTCCATTTGTGTTTATAAAATAGAGGTCAGTGGTACTAAGAATCAAGACTCTGTATATCCAAGGAGGTGGTGCGTACATGTACTGTATCAGTGTAATCAACCACAGGCAGATACCTGTCTGCACAGGGAGAAATAACACAAGCAGATAATTACCTGTTTCCTGTGTTTGTTTATAGCAAGTAAAACAGTTTAAAGCAGCTCTGTTCAACACCTTACCAGATGTAAAATGTTTACAATTTAAAACTGCATCTTTATTCTATATCTATATATCTTCAAGCCCAACTCATAATGGACTATCTTACTTTGGAACATGAATTCGAGAGAAAGAGAACACTATGGGGTTAAAGGGGTTAGGGTGCTCACTGACCTCACAGTCCATTTACTGTTATTCTGAAGTTGTGTGAGAAGTGCAGGTCGTACAGAAGGCAGGTGAAAACAAAGCCACTGTCAGTGTGACGTTATTAATCTTTAACACCATCACAGCAGAAGACATCCACAGAGTCATGTGAGAAACTGCACTTTACACTTTG